AACATAAAGCACATTATAGTTACATGCACTAACTAGCAGCACAAAGACAAAACAAACATAAAGCACATTATAGTTACATGCACTAACTACAGCACAAAGGCAAACAAACATAAAGCACATTATAGTTATATGCACTCAACTAGCAGCACAAAGGCAAACAAATATAAAGCACATTATAGTTACATGCACTAACTAGCAGCACAAAGACAAACAAATATAAAGCATATTATAGTTACATGCACTAACTAGCAGCACAAAGGCAAACAATTATAAAGCACATTATAGTTACATGCACTAACTAGCAGCACAAAGACAAACAAACATAAAGCACATTATAGTTACATGCACTAACTAGCAGCACAAAGGCAAACAAACATAAAGCACATTATAGTTACATGCACTAACTAGCAGCACAAAGGCAAACAAATATAAAGCACATTATAGTTACATGCACTAACTAGCAGCACAAAGACAAACAAATATAAAGCACATTATAGTTACATGCACTAACTAGCAGCACAAAGACAAACACATATAAAGCACATTATAGTTACATGCACTAACTAGCAGCACAAAGACAAACAAACATAAAGCACATTATAGTTACATGCACTAACTAGCAGCACAAAGGCAAACAAACATAAAGCACATTATAGTTACATGCACTAACTAGCAGCACAAAGGCAAACAAATATAAAGCACATTATAGTTACATGCACTAACTAGCAGCATACACAGTACAGTACAGGTACTAACAAACATCAAGCAAAGATTAATAAGATAATAAACTTACTCTTCATTGCTGCAATGTACCATATTGATACAGTGCCTTTAGGTTTAGCATCAACATGAAACAAATAACTATAATAACAATATTTATATATACAGTAATAATTATAATGCAAGTATTAATACGTACTGATTTGCACGTATTCATTATATTTATTTAGAAATCAACTTAAACATTTTATTTTCGTCAGTTAACAATTTTGTTGACTTTTCTATTTTTTTTTATATTTTACAACATTTTATATATCAATTTTACACGACAAAAATATTCAAATTTTTATGTTACAATAAATTGTAACTTACTCACGGTAGTACATAGGTTTATATATTTCGTTTCAACCATTAATGTCATAATTTTCTTGGACACATTTTTACGGGATTACATCAAAAACGTTAGCTATATATTGGCTCTGAAAATTACTTTCACTTCATTCAAATATTCTACTATAACCTAAATTTACCATAAATATGTGAGGATATGAGCTTTCAATTGACTGGTTAAATTGTAGTGTAAGACCCACTGAGTAACCCACTTTATAAATTTATTCTGGGGGTAGATTTATCTCCTCTTTCCAAATATGTAATATAAATTTGTCGAACATTAATAGGAAAAAAGGTACAGCCATTTTATTCTTGTTTTTCGCCTCATAAACCGGTGCAGGTCTGCGACACACGGACTGTTGGTTAGCTATTTTTAGTTACACATTTGAAAAGAGGAGATAAAACTATATAGAATAGGGGGAGTTAGTCGATGGGTGATACTGAATAATAAAGTTCATAACAGTGTAACGAATAAGAGACCTGCCGCCCGAATGGCTAGTAAGCTAAGTGGCGAAATGATAAAGTAAACTGTAATTTAACCGTCACTTTATAAACCAACCACGTGAACTATGAGCTACCAACCACGTGAACTATGAACTATCAACCACGTGAACTATGAACTATCAACCACGTGAACTATGAACTACCAACCACGTGAACTATGAACTGCCAACCACGTGAACTATGAACTACCAACCACGTGACCTATGAACTGCCAACCACGTGAACTATGAACTGCCAACCACGTGAACTATGAACTGCCAACCACGTGAACTATGAACTACCAACCACGTGAACTATGAACTACCAACCACGTGAACTATGAACTGCCAACCACGTGAACTATGAACTGCCAACCACGTGAACTATGAACTGCCAACCACGTGAACTATGAACTGCCAACCACGTGAACTATGAACTACCAACCACGTGAACTATGAACTGCCAACCACGTGAACTATGAACTACCAACCACGTGAATTATGAACTTACCGTTGCCTGTCTTTGGGGAAGAAATGAGTCCAGCACCCTGCAGGGCATATATCATTAAATGCAATAACTTCTGGCAACAGTTAGGCTTTACTCACATTAATTTTATTTATGACAAATATCTATACAACGCTGCTGTACGTATTGTGTATAGTGTTCGAATAACTTTTGCTATGTCAAAAAAAAGTGCCTTAGGTTAGGTTATGTTTCACGATGAACCAATGTTGTGGGTTATTGTACACTATACCGTACAGTATAACCTAACTAAAGCTCTTAGGTTAGCAAATATAGGGAGACATTACTACTCGCAATTATAGGTTATGTGTTGCACACATAACAGAAAATTATTTTTACTCAGACAGGGAGAAGCATTAGCTAAAATTGGAGAGAGAGAGAGAGAGAGAGAGATTTTTTATGAAATTTTGATTTATTTTGCTCACGTAAGAGTACGAGCTTTTTCACTGTATATATTTTTTCTTAATGGTCATCTCAATGCCAGGTGAGCTGTACTGTATGTGTACCACCTAGTGACGAGCGCCCCCTCCCTCCTATCCCCACCGAATGCCCCCCCCTCTATCCCCACGAGTGCCTGGATCAGTGCTCACAACTCTCCTGTATTATAGAACCATTTTCAAGACGCCCTTAACTCAGACCTTTGTATTGTTTCCAGCCAGTCCTACCAGGTGACACTCGGCTGTCTTTCCCACTCCTTACAGGTCAATAAATCGAACCTCAGTCTGAACCAACTTGAAGAATAATCATATATTCATTTTCAACTAATATGGTTTTATCAGAGACGTATATACCAGATTCGGATTGGTGAAAATAGTCGGACTCGTGGACCTGTAGTCTAGTCTATGCTGCAGTGTTAAGCGGCATTTCAGAAGGTCTGCTCCTGTTCTTCATATAGTGTACTGTACATCAACGACTTGTCTCCATAGCTTTCCTCTCTACTGACGATGTTCTTATTTATGCAGATATGGTCACGCTGTCATCCTGATGTGTGAGGTGATAACCACTGAAAAGGAGAAGGAAATCATGTGATGAATTATATGAAGGAAACAGAAACGTAAATTGAATTCAAGAAGAAAGCGAAAAAGAAAGTTATTGGTGTTGAGGTGTGGACCAACTTACCTGAGCAGGTAGCTGAAATAGTCGTTTCCAGCCGTGTTGACCTGCAAGAGATGACCGTACAAGCACTGGCCGAATAAAGACGACCTATTCACAGAGCTTTGAGTTCATTTTATGTTAAAAGTCGCCTGCCTGCTTACTTAGTACCATATAGTGTTGTGAAGAGGAGTAGATCTTGACTATAAAGGCCTGTCAACAGCTCTGATTAGACATTAGAAATATGCATAAATCACAATAAACAGTTTCATTCCATTTTAAATAAATAAAAAGATAAACAAAATTAAGTAGATAACGAAAGTGTTTATCAGGGTGAAGCCTTGAGACGAAATAAGCTGGGGAACAATGTCTCATTCACAACACACTTGAAGGACTGGACCTCATCATAATCTAAACATGAAGGGCGTGTCTTAATATACCGTCAAGCTAACACGAAAATATATTAAAAGAAAATGTTGAAGAAAGAAAAGTGTGAATAAAAGTGGGGTGTTTACACTCATCTCTGAAGGCCGACGTCTGTACAGTATTTTAAATGTTTCTTACGATAAACTATTTTCTCCTGGATTGAATTACGAGAATGTTTGGTTTCAGTCTAGTATCACTGTAATGTTACCTTATTTTGACTTCTCACTCAAGTTAAAAGTGAAGTAATTTAGGTACAATGTCACATTACTACTTTAGCAGAGTTGGAACATACAGTCTCCTGGAGATATCTTGCTGATGCCATAAGGTTTTACTTCATATTAGCAACTAAGGTCTTTAAACACGTATTTAAGTCATCAATAATCAAGAAAAATACATCAATGAATGGGAAGTTTTACCAAAATACCTGAACGGCCCTAACTACCTTAACTTAACCAGGACAAACTAGCCTACCCTAACTTTCATAAACTACCAAAGCCCCAGTGTTCACCTCTCCACCAATATAACACAGGTACTTTATTTGTTTATGTCCACCATTCGCGCACAACTTTAAAGAGGCGAGAGATTTTGTGTTAAGGGAGTGAATCACACATTCCTGATTTTGGGGCTTAAAAACGATTTTCATAAAATTTGGTTAACTCCCATCGTCTCCAATACACGACAGCCATCAGCCTATATTTATGTTATTACTGTTCTCATTTAATTACTCGTCACGCAATTTTTTATTATATATAGAAATCTAGTTCTATTAAAATGTCTCTTAACTCTCATTTGTCATTTTTTAATATTTTTAAAAATATTTAGACACTAAAAACAGATATGATTTTTCGAAATGCCAATAATAAGAATTATGCTACAGTATCATAACGACGTACAGTGCACTTGTTCATACTGAATCACGTCATACACTGCAACAACAGTAATGAAAATGAAGATTATCCCTCCATAGTTAAGAGGCCCACACCCCTCCACCCCACAGATAAGACTCCCTCACCACCACCACCACCACAGAGAAAACGTGGCCCCGCCTGTGGTCATGTAAATACAAAATGTCCTTCTAGACTCCCCGCGACTTTGGGAGAAACTTATGTGTTTTAATATGTGAGCGTTGACACAAATGTTGGAGAGAAAGAAATATAAATATGGCATAAATAGGTCGCAGGGGATTGGTGAGTTGTGGTGTAGTTAAGAGCAGTGCGGGAGAGAGACACATGCATGTAAAGTAAATACAATTTTTACTGTAGCTTCTGGATGGTTGGACGACCTATCTGAGGGGCCCGAGAATACTTAATGCAGAAAACGTCTTAACATTTACCAGCGTACAAGAGAGAAAGGTCCAAGACTAATGAATGAGGATCTCTGGTGATAAACACATGGATACAGTATGTCGGTGGTGTAAACAAACAACAGATCGAGAGTATAGAGACTAGAATGTCAATGCCGTTGTCCTGGGTGAAGCAAATGATATCACGAGAATTGTGAAATATATATTTACAAAAGTAACAGTGAGTCTTAAGAGTAAAAACAAGTAAACAGTAGGAGAAGTACAGCAGCAGGAAGGAGGTGAACCTAGCAGGAAACAGATCAAGTACCAAGGGAGCTGCTGGCGGGGATGAAGGGAGTGACATGTGGCTCTCAGGCTATAGTACATAACAGGCCTAGAATACCTGTCTCACCTGTAGGCGTATGAGTGGACTTTACCTGTAGGAAACACCCGAGGCTGAGACAGGGACGAGAAGCATTGAAGAGGGACACAGACACCTGGCATGACATTCACACTCGCCAATACTTGAAGACAGTGAAGGTGTGACATTTGCATCAACGATTTTTCTAAGGTTCTCGAGAAATATTCTTTTTAATGTTATTAAATTTCCAAATACTGTAGCTTCACCTGCCACTGATTAAAATTACTGGAGCCATGTATTAATTTCCGGCAGTCTGACGTCGCACCTGCAGCCCAGCTCAGGTGACCAGGTAAACATTAATCTTTGTAAGTATACCTGTAATTTACCTTTCTTGTATGGTATATAACTTAAAAGTAAATCAAACGGCCAGCAGGGTATAATATGACTGGTAAGCTTATATACAGTGTTTCGTTATATCGAGGACTGGCAGTGATGTTGTAAGGGGATGGATGACCGATATACATAAAAGTCAAAAGTTGTATCAAACAGCCAGCAAAATGGACCATTAGTACTTCAGGCAGTAATATCTCATTATACTAAGCACATTAGACTAAGTACATTTGCACGGAACATTAATTAACCAGGTTTCATGGCCGAAATAATATAATTACTATTGATAGAGATGTACAATATTATGTGTATTGTTATAGTTACTCGATAAAAACAATCTCTTTGTCCCTATAGGCTGGCAGAGAGAAAATGATCTAATACTACGACATATTTTACAGAATATTGGGAAAACTCATTAAACAGTATCCACAGCCTCGTAACATTTAACAGTAATCCACAGCCTCGTAATATTTAACAGTAATCCACAGTATAGTAATATTTAACAGTATCCACAGTATAGTAATATTTAACAGTATCCACAGCCAAGTAATATTAACGGTATCCACACACACATCAGTTTGAAACATACATACATTATACACTGCTAAAAAAACACACACACATTAATTCAAACAAACATACAAATTAATCAAAAAATACATAAGCTACACATCAAGAGTGAAAATCATACATACACATTAATGAAAGAATCAACAGTCAACACCTATTACTCTCGTCCATGATAGAAATATATTAGGTGTCACTGTCGGCTCGTCTAAACCAAATTTCATTACATAAAGTATTTAAAAAAAAATGTGGTGTATATACATATATTATTTTCATTTATTTTTTTATCTGGTAGGACTGATATACATGCAGTGGGTTTATTAATTATTATTTATTATATGATAAGTTGTATCACATTTTAATGGGCTACTTGATAAGTTTTAATGGTATTATTTTTTTATTAGTTATTTGTTAATTTAGTGTTGGCAAGTATATACCATTATAAGCGGTATGTGAGCTGTGGTGTAATGGTGTTCATACTCGCTTCGCATCCTAGTGATGCTGGGTTCGATCCCTGGGTAAATTGGTCATCGCCTTTTTCTTCAGTCTACCCACCAGTAAATGGGAACTGATGGATCGTTTTCTTGGGTAATGATTAACCAGTGCGGTTGGCTACCTATCCGGTCCTTCCTTCATACTGAACTAACAAGAAACTTCCGCCTTGGTGGCCGCCTTAATACCGGCCATCAGATATCTTAAGTTCACCTTCATAACATCTCTCCTTATATGAATTATAAGAAAATGACAAACCACACTGATGACGATCTTTAATATTATACAAAAATATACCAATAACAACCCTAACGTTTATACAAGGATATAATTTAACTACCATTCTGCCTTTCCTACAGTATATAACGACAACTCAAATGAAATACATAGAAGAGAAAAAAAATGTGTAGATGATTGTAAAGCAAGGAACAGCGAGCAACACATGGCCCAGCAGAGCTCCCCTGCAGGAAGCGCGGACCATTTAAACCCCCTTGTAGCGGGTGAATGCTATTTTGTTCACCTGTTTTCATATTTTATGCAACGTTTTCAATAAGTGAAGAAGGTTAACCAATTTACTATATTTCTTTGTTTTGTTACTTTACACCTTCACTCATACAGGGAGTCGGAGGGAGTGGAAAATAACCGACCCACGAATAGTTTACAAAATATATGGACACGGATTATAACAACACTACTTACGTTAAGAATATATTGGATACCGTGTATATATAAAAAAAAAAAACATGCGCCTTAACTATACGTAACATAAAAAGGAGCTACGTATTACTGTCTTCATATAAGTCAATAATACCTTAACATTATAAAAAGATGCTGGCCTCCTCTAACCTCTCGTTATCAGAGGTTTATATAACATTGATGAACAAACCAGCGGGGTAGTGGTCGCTTAGGTGGATGTGTGATAGTTCGTCCTAGGTGACTAGTGTTGAGGTCGTGTTGTGGTGACAGCCTTTATCACCTGACGCGGCCAGTGTTGGTTGTTTCATCAGTAGCTCATTACCCCAGGGATATTAAGTATTCTCGGTTTACCTGAAGATTAGACACCCCAGTTTTATTTTTTTACCTGATGATTTAACACCCTAACGCTAACCTAACCTAACCCAACTTACCCTACCGCTAACCTAACCTAACTTACTCTAACGCTAACCTAACCTAACCTGACTTACCCTGACGCTAACCTAATTTAACTTAACTTTACCAAACCTAACTTTACCAAACCTAACTTAACCTAACCTAACGCTATCCTAATTTAAACTAACATAACCGAACACCAACTTAAGTTAACCTAACGCTATCCTAATTTAAACTAACATAACCGAACACCAACTTAACTTAACCTAACGCTATCCTAATTTAAACTAACATAACCGAACACCAACTTACCTTAACCTAACGCTATCCTAATTTAAACTAACATAACCGAACACCAACTTACCTTAACCTAACACCCTCAGGTAGAGTTACAGTGTTTAATCATCAAGTGAAATAATCTGAAGGTGGGACTAAATTTCAGGTAATTCATATTTTCGACAACAATCCATCAAGGTCAACATAACTAACACTTTTCTCTTGTTTTCGTGTTACAGATGGGTGGCGTGGCAGGCGTGGTGGTGGTGTGGTGCGTGTTGGCGTGGGCGGAAGGCGTGGTGAGCCAGCGCGCGCCCTGCTACCACTGTGACCTGCTCAAGGATACACACCCACAAGCCACCTCCTTCACCGCGGTAAGTACACTCATATTCTTCTACACCCCAGCCCCTATACTCTGCGTTAATACACACACACACACACACACACACACACACACACACACACATACAGTATATACATTATACTCTTGATCATCATAACTTATAAAACCTTTTCTCACGTACGTCCACAATCTGCAGTCTTTCCTCCACACCACTTGAGCGCCTCCAAACTTCTCCCAGTAATTTCATCGGTCCATTTAGTGTTTGGTCTTATTTCTTTAATCTCATGGAACCTATATGAGTTGGTCCTCTCTTGGTCTCGTCTTAGGTCAATATGGTCCAGTCTCTGCCCTTTATTATTATTATTATTATTATTATTATTATTATTATTATTATTATTATTATTATTATTATTATTATTATTATTATTATTATTTTATTAATATTTTTTGTTTTTTTAAAATTTGACCTTTATGTAATAGTCTTTATTTTTAGGGGGTTCAGATATGACTGTTGTTCTAAGGTTTAAATGTTTCTGTATAATCGTCTTTCAGGGGATGGGATTATTTTTTTTTTGGGGGGGTGGGGGTTAATTGGTGTGTTTAATTACCTCTATTAGGGGTAGGGAGAGGGAGGGAAGGAGGGATTTGTGAGCGAGTTTCGGTTAGGTTAGGTTAAATTTTTTCTGTCTCGTTATTTTCGTTACTGATTCATCATTATCCTCATCCTTTTTCATTATTATTATTATTAACATCTTCACTAATCATCATTATTTTCACAATCATTATTACCATCACCAATCTTCTTCATCATCACCACCACCATCATCATTATCACAATTAAGATCAACACCATCATCATTACACTATCACCACTACCACCACCATCACTATCACCACCACCACCCTCCTACACAACAGGATAAAGAAGGCGCCTCTTCCCCATACCTTGGCTTGAGTCTCCCCTTCCACACACGGCTCCTCCATTTTCTTTAATCAACTTCAGCTCAAATCATTCCCTTCCCTCTTCGGTTCTTATCACCTAATTTCTTATTCACCTATTGATACATATGTTTCTTTTTATATACAGTATATGTGTGTTAATGAACCTAAGGATACATAATATATTGTAAGCGGTGTGGTAGTATATCGTGTTGCCCAGAAGGAAAACTAACTATCGCTTGCCACCATAAAGTAAGTTTTGCTAACTATCGTCTTCTCTGTCGATATTGAATGTAAAATTTTCCCCCTCCCAGCAAGAAAGAAAGAATATGAAAGACTTGCACGAACTTTGGTAATCAATTATAATTTCACTAATGACGAACAGATTGCCATCATTTAGCGACTAATGGCACAAGCTCGATGGTAATAAAACCATGATTTGATTTTTTTTCTCCGCCATTATGGAAGTATGACTTGAAACTTCTTACTCACTGTCCCAGCCATCCATCATCCGGTATTAGGAAATTTATTGTCAAAGTTTGTGAGGAAATTATTGATGATAATCGAATTTGGTTCTAAGATGCATTAATTGTACCGTACTACACCTTCTGTGCTGTTCACCCTCACCTGTGGGCACCGAGACACATACAGATATACAATACATACATGCAAGACACACAACACGCCGGTAAGTGCAGTGTATACAGAACATTTTCATATGTATATTTATGGCATGCATATACTACACACACATATAGTGTAAGTGTATGTATGTATGTATGTATGTATGCATGTATGTATGTATGTATGTATGTATGTATGTATGTATGTATGTATGTATGTATGTACTGTATGTCTTGTCATACTACTGAAAAAATAAAAACAGTTAAAATCTTTGCATGTTTACTTAATTATTACTTCACCTTTCTTTATCAAAATTTACAATGAATTGTTTTGGTCCGTCAGTGACATTCTCCGTCATTGTAAAAGCCACACGTAGAGCTGCACACGCAACTGGATCACGCTGCCTATGTCATCTAGTTAAGATAAATAAAGTTAACAAACAACAACGGATTGTTACTGATTCACCAATTTTATTTCTTAAACTTGTCGATGTTTGACTCTCGTGGGGCGTGAAGCACGAAGTCTGGTCCACAGAGAGAAGAAAACACACACACACACACACACACACACACACACACACACACACACACACACACACACATATATTCCATAACATATCCAACAACACAGACAGATTCCCTCCCCTAAAAAAAAATCAACAACAACAACATGACACTTTGAACCAACCAATAAAACAAACACAACAAACAAAACATAAGCGAGGAACCCCTGTAATCTTTCTCCCAACCTAAACGTTAATTCGATTCTCTTTTCTAACTAACTTTTGGAATTTTTGTTGATCCCGGGTACAAGAGAGATTGTTGGTCCCCAGGATGGATGAACTTCCCTCGAGTTTGTTCTGGGGGATCAAGAATCACTCACTGCTGATGTCAAGGCTAAGGCAGTTGTGACCTAGAACGACAAAAACTATTGTCACATATGATCGTCAGTGTCAGATGAGCCGTGACCCAAAATATGTGGACAGAAATTCATTCGTAAATTTGAGTAAAATTTTTTTTGGGGGGGATTAGCTGATGAGAAGACACCCCAGATTATTTCACCTGAGGATTACAGGTTATTTCACCTGAAGATTAACCACCATAACGCTACCATCATTAATAGCTAAGGTAACACACACACACACACACACACACACACATCTTGGCCTCACTGAGTCATTTTAGGGCCAGTTCACAATAATATTTCCCTCACTTGCGGTGTTTTGTGTCGTAAAATTACCAGTAATGGCTTTAAAAGGCCCAGACCGCCAGAGATATTGGTTAGTAATATCTATGTATTTTAAAACAATACAGGTGAGGCAGTACGAGTCTAATTAAGCCTTATGATTTAATATTTCAAGTCTAATATCCGTAATTTACTCGTTATTCATTTTAATGTATAAATAACAATAATGTGTGGTCTTATAATTTAAGGACCCATACTTAAAATGCCAAATCATAAGGCTTAATTAGGATCATACTTCCTTACCTATATTGGCTGGGAATTACGGGAATTATTAGATTTAAAACGTTAAATCATGTTTCCTAAATGAGAATTATATTTCGATATTGAGTTAAAAATAAATAATGAAGGCAGATATTGTGATTACTTACCCGATTAATGCGATTACTTTACCTTAGATTAATGACGATTACTTTACCTTATTGTTTAATGGTTACCGATTACGCTGCGATTATAATTAGCCTTATTGTTATAGCGATTAATGGCGATTACTTTACCTTATTGTTATAACAATTAATGACGATTACTTTACCTTATTGTTATAACGATTAATGACGATTACTTTACCTAATTGTTATAACGATTAATGACGATTACTTTTCCTTGTCTATCTATCTATCTATCTACTCGTATTTATCGATCTATCTATCTACTCGTATTTATCGATCTACCTATCTAATATACTATAGGACTAGGCGTGTGTCTGTCAGTCTGTTCTGGGCAGCCGAAACGGCACAATCGTTTTTCATCAAACTTGGTGGAAAAACCGCAAAAAAATTCATAGAGTGGAATAAACCTGGTCCCATGACGATGGTTTCTTTAGGAAGGCATTAATTAACCATTTTATTTACGATGGAAAACGATGCAAGTCTACGGACTTGGCGCACCCTCATTCGCTGTACGCTAGCCAAGCACAAGCGTTCAAACTTTCACTGGGCACACCGCAATCTCTTGTATCTATCTATCTATCTATCTATCTATCTATCTATCTATCTTTCTATCTAATTACATACCATAATATTGTATAACATCATATCAACTTTTATTCATTCATACATCTAGTTTTTCATTTATATATACAACTCCTGCAACACTTACATCAATTTATATAGTTTTTTAACTCTTCTCTGGATACTGACTTCAATTTCGCTCCGTCTCTTCGTTATTGAATTTATTGTTATTGACTTGAACACAATGACAATATCTATCACCTTAATTGCTCTTTTACTTATATCGGGCGGATTAAAGGAGGAGGAGGAGGAGGAGGAGGAGGAGGAGGAGGAGGTGTAGAGACAATTAGACGGTTGAGATAAAGATTAGATTTTTTATACACACACATATGCACTTAATGCACACACACACACACACACACACACACACACACACACACACACACACACACACACACACACACACACACACACACACACACACACACACACACACACACACACACACTACATTAAGCACAGAACATAAACACTATACCTGACTCATCATCGTTCACCTCTTACCTCAGAACAGTATTTATAATCATCCCGATAATAAATTTAAAACATCGAGACTATACGATAATTTTTCATCCTAATTATCCTCCCCGTCTGATCATTTTTCTCTCTGGGTTAATAACAAATGATTAATAAAGAATGATAATGAAGGACATGATTATAGGGCGGAAGGATCAATGATTAATGAAGGAGAACAGAAATGGCCTGAAGATGGTGGGATGTTGGGCCCAAAATACGACCTAATCATCTTCTAGGTCATATTTATAATTAAACTCATTAATAATCCGGGTCTTCCATCTCCCTTGGTAAGACGGATTTATGTACCTTTACTGTTGCTGATGAGGTGACCGTGCCTATTGACTGTTGTTTTGTCTTACTGTCATGCCAGAGACTGTTAACTGTGTTGGTCTACCTCACTGTCATGCCAGAGACTGTTAAGTGTGTTGGTCTACCTCACTGTCATGCCAGAGACTGTTAAGTGTGTTGGTCGACCTCACTGTCATGCCAGAGACTGTTAACTGTGTTGGTCTACCTCACTGTCATGCCAGGGCTATTAACTGTGTTGGTCTACCTCAGTGTCATGCCAGAGACTGTGGTAAGTGTGTTGGTCTACCTCACTGTGTCATGCCAGAGACTGTGCTGTGTTTAGTCTACCTCCCACTGTCATGCAGGGAACTGTTAAGTGTGTTGGTCTACCTCACTGTCATGCCAGAGACTG